TGTTAACTGTCCCTTTAACTGTCCAATTTCAAGCATAATGCTTACACTGTCCTATTACTGCTTAAATCAGGCTGGTGATAACCAATCACATTCGAGAATTTTGTTATAGTTTTGACTAATAAAACAAACAGAAGTGAACTCATTTCAGACTGTGAGTCAATGCCCATGGAGAAGGGCCACTCAAACAAGACAGGTAGTTCTCATACAATAAATGTACACTGTACCTGAACTTTGACTGTTCAATTTCCTGCGATCCAGACTATATGAAGAGTTAACTCTTCCTGATTGCCCTCTCACATGGTTCAATGATGGCTGTAAAGTCTGCTGCTTGGTTGTTTTTCCTTTCTGTGTTGGTCTTTGCCAAGAAAATGATCTGCTGTTGTCCTGGACTGTACAAGGCTGAACTCCAAATACACTTCTTTGGGAAGGTATCTTTTTATGAGATTTAATAAGATCTGAGAAAGAACATCCAAAGTAAAAAAATTACCAAATTTGAAAGAAACAACTTGACTTTGTCTTAGCTTATTAAAAAGCATCGTGACACTCTTACGTGCCCCATGTAAAATTTGTTAATACTGACGAAAATCTGTTTCAATCCACAAAAAGGTAGATTGTTCGACAATTCGTAAAATATGATGGACGGCTATGGCTACCAACAGTAACCTATCATGTAAAATGAAAGAGAACTTCCTATCTGTTATTTTCTCCTTCACAATCACTGTCCAAATCGTAATTTTCTAATATTGATGCACAGAGGTAATTCACAAATTTCGGAGAGACATCCTTCAGTCGAAAGTATTTAACAGAAAATATGCCACGCCGATACATGCTTGTAGGTGCATCGACGCACAATTTACAAGGAAAGCGTAAAATTCAGAAAGCTTGCTACTGTCACGGCACAAAAGATTAGCTTCTGGATAATGCATCCAATAAGTTACAAAGGAAGTGTTTTTTCGCGTAATCAACACACACAAAAAAATAATTTATTCATGGGCAAGATCATCTTCGAAAATGAACCTTTACAATCCTTACTTACTCGTGAGATACGCGATTTGTTCTTTGAGTTTCGATGAGTCGTCCGCCATAGTTGTTTCTGTAAGGCTATTGATGACGTCACGACGGCTTGTCACAGGTATACCAATCTTTTGGTTTTGCACAAGGACATTAACGGAATATTTTTGTTTTCTGCGGTACTTGTTACGACTAGTTGAACATGTTGTTTTTTTTTCAGTGTTTGTGTGATTTGAATTTCAAATCTGCAATTTAAGTCCTCTTTGAGATGCTCTAAACTGAAAATATTGCATCGAAATAGATTGAGATAGACGAAAAAAATTGGTTGCGTATTCAGGCTCTTTCTCTGAATTTCTAAAAAACTCTTTAAGACTTTTTGATTGAGGTGCACGTCCCCAAAGGTATTTCCCGAAACACCGAACGAAATCTACCCAATTCTGTGGCGAAAATCGATGAGTTAACAGACGCTAAAATTGCCCGAAATGCGCTTAGAATTCGCTTCAAAATACTTTCTTTAGGTTTAATAACTTGGCTGTCATATGAAAACTGCCTCCCGTAAAGCCCTGAAATCGAGAAGTAATATCATGTGTCAAAAACAAGGGTTCCAGACACCGAGAAACAGAAGGTTAGTGTTTGGAACCCGTGATTAAGCACGAAGTCCGAGTTTTTGACACGTCTTCTAAAATGAAACAATAAGGAATTAAACAGTGACGTGTTTTCTTAAATCAAACAATGATAAGTTATGCAGTTACATAATTTGTCCATCCCTCAAGAAACGTGTTTACATGCTAATAGATCTTAGCTTTCATTCGATGTAAGTTTCCTGCGGTTTTAACTAGTTTCCCCGCACGTAGACTGATCGGTCTTCATGGTATCAACATCTCTTATTTAATTTAGAGGTTAACGTTCCATAATTGAGTTGCACTCATAAAGTTTCACCGTATTTATTCGCGTTTCTAATCTCGCAATATACTATTACAACTTAGCTTTCATTTGATCTACTTGCCTACGAGAGACTAAACATAACGCCTGAGTCAAATTTGGTGGTGGCGAGTTTGTTGCGGTAGCGAATGGACCGTAAATCAATTCGCAAGGAGCCCTAAAATAGTCGCTAAGAATGCACCAGTAAGCATAACTAATTGTTTATTACCATGACAAACGATATCGATATGTAAATTTGGCATAAGTACAATACTACCCGGTGATTTCCTTCAGCTTTCCGAACAAGTAGTGTCATGCTACAAAACTATGATTGCTTGTCAGTGTTCTTCATGTTACAGATTTGTTTCCACGTCGATGGCAATAAGAATAATCAAGGTCTCACATTTCTTGCAATCGGAGATTTCGGCGGAATTTCAAGGCCACCTTACACTACACATATGCAAAGGAAGGTAGCAGAAGTTATGGGTCAGGTAATATTGTTTGGATCTGGAACACATTTTAGACGAAACGAGAAGAACTATGACTCTTAAACACAAAGTCATGATGTTAGAAATCTATTTTTGCCAAAAGGGAGGAATCCGACTACTTTCAGGAAGCAAATAGTTTAGGCCGTTTATAACTTTGATAAATCATGCAAAGCCGGTAAACAAACTATTCTTGAGGCATTCTATATGTTAGGATCGCCTCAATTTGAAATTATTAATAGGCCAAGGCTTTTCAGTTTTACAGTTTGTATTTTTATGCATTCGATCCCGACTGGCAGTGCCTTCGTGGCAGAATTATGAAACTCACCGAAAACTTCAATTTACGGAAAGCGAGTGCTTGGTTGAATCGACAGACATGGAAACTGATATTGCTTATTCTATGTACTTAGTTTCTAATGAAGAGGAGTTTTAGACTCTCTCGAAAGCTAGATCGATACATATCAAGTGTTTTAAAAATTCGTGTAGAGAACGAACACGGAAGTTTTAGAAGAACTGCCTTCGCTGTCAACAGTTCTGAAGTCGGTAGTTTGCATGAGGTGATTAAAATTGCATTGTAAACAGCCTTCTGCCACGTCACCAGAGTGAATACAATATTATCAATTCACATGGTTTTTGAAAGCAGAATCGAAAATGCCACAGCGAGATACTCGTTTCTTATTAAGCAATTAGTTCAATTTTATTAGAAGTGGCTCTGTAATTTTATCTGACGTCGATGTTAGCTTTTGTACTAAGAAATTTGTTATCAAGCGGAGGAATCGGGGCAAAAACTGTTTTCTTTTTTTCGTTTTGTCTGTTCTGCGGCCCTGTGTTATATAGTTGTTCCTTTGAAGTTCAAAGTCTGTGTCGAAAATCTCATAAAACGATCGATGTTTTACTACAGTCAAGATAACATTTTTAAAACAGAAAGATCAAGAACTAACGAGGTTAAGATTCAGAGCCTCATAATTTTTGAACGCTTTAACGCTGAGACCGCGGAGAGTTGGTTCCTTACCCAATATGGTTGGTGTTATTCGTTCTTTACACAGCCATAAAGTACATTTGTTGGTAACAAGATTCGCCTACTGGATTATAATTTTCGGTTTTGCTAACTTAGTACATTTTACTTGCATAATTACGTAACTAAGTAAATACTTACATAAACATATTAATGCTTTCTCACCAGTCGCAGTTCGGGAAATAAGCCCGCGCGTTTCTCGAAAAAAGCGGAAATCGAGTCTGTGATAGATGTTATTTTCCTTTCCCTCTTTTATTTATTTCTGCTATTCAATTCTTTTTTGCTTAAGTTTTGACATGTTTCGTTTCGTTATATTGTTTCTCTCTGTTTTGTTCTTGTTATTTCTTTTTTTTTATTTGTTTGTTTCAATTCTTTAGTTATTTGCTTTGCTTTATTCCATTTATTTCGCTTCTTTTCTCCATTTTTTTATTTCAATATCTACCCTTTATCTTCTCATCAATCTAGTATTGAAATATACGTATTGAAATACATTATTATTTTCACTATTACTATTATAATATTATTATCACCTTTATCTGTGTAACGATTTTATCTTCTCTTTTAGTATGCCGATTCAGGAAAGGCACAATTTGTTATTGGGTTAGGTGATAACTTTTATGGCAATGGCGTCAAGACCGTGGACGATCCAAGATTTACTACCACCTTTGAGCACGTGTACACGAACCCCACCCTTGTTTCAGCCACGTGGTACATGATCGCTGGAAACCATGACCACGACTCGAACGTGTCTGCACAGATAGCTTACACCAAGGTTTCCCGTCGCTGGCATTATCCAGATTTCTTTTACAGTCAAGGTAACATTTTTTGGTAATGCAAAGGAGAGTCGTCAACCTCGAGATGACTTACATGCCACAAATTAAAGGTCGTGTGCCAATCGATCGGCTGTTTGAACCGCAACTAGTTTAAGTAAAAACGGTGGAAGTTCCCGATAGACAATAAACAACCGTTTTCGGTTAAAATGCTGTGACTCCTGTAGCTTTCGAGCAGCCATCATAACTAGCGCTGCTAGACGCGGGGTTTTAATTTCTCTGTCCCCGAGAAGATTTAAACGAGTCAAAGAAGGGTTTGCCTGGAGTCTGGCTCTAATAATTAGTAACTAATTAATTAAAAAATCAATTATCATTATCAGCGCTTGAGCCCGCGCGTTTCTTCACCTGCGGAAAAAGTATGAGGCCTTGAACAACGCGAGTCGGCGAAAGGTCTGCAGGGGGTCTGGCACTAGTACTGAGTTATTTTTAGTACCAGACCTTCGGCAAGCCTCTCCCCGACCCGTCTCAAATCTTCCTGCGGGAGGAGAAACGCAGTGCTAACTTTATAAGGGCCGGCTCGTCGGCTTTAGTTATCGAAAAGGAAGTCTCCCTTTGATAATAGTTTATATATTTTTAATTTTTTCAGTGTTACAGATTCCTGACACACTTAAGACTGTTCAACTTGTCATGATAGATACAACTCTACTCTGCTGCAGAAAGTAAGCGCATTTTGTTCTTCTGTTTGTCGGTAAATTTCTGCTGGTTTGTAGAAATTCCCATAAAATTAATGACTTTACCCCAACGTAACTCGTAAGATTGAAGCGCTTCTCGATTGAGCGTCATAAAACCAAAACCAAAGGTATTACAACGGCAATCAGAAGAAGGGAAAATACCCTGAAGAGCCAATGAGTACTCAAAGTAAAAACACCCAACCGCCTAAAGCGCATGAAAGTGGTGTGATTTGTCTGGATAGATAACAAAGCAATTAAAGCAAAACCAAGGTAAAACCTCTTTGATTTCGACACTCAATCGAAAATTGCACCACTAAATCAAACCTTTTCTGTTTTTTACTCTTTTTGCGCAGTCGATGGATGGATAAAATGAAGTTACCGAGTCAGAAACAACAGCTGAAGTGGCTAAATAACATACTCAGAAGTTCAACGTGAGTATTGATTAAAAGATATTTGAGAACAGCAAAGAAATGCCCCACACCAAACATCATATGTTGCTGTCACGAACATGGAACATTGTACAAACCCCGGCCTCAAAGTCGGTCTTTGATTCGTCAAACCAGCGTTGCATCTTGAAAAAATAATAGAACGAGGAGAAGACGGTTGCCGACGCTCTTATTTTCCCTCTCTGTCCCTTATTTTCTCTTGATTGCACCTATCTGGACTTACAAGTGAATTTCTTTGGAACACAAGTTCCCATCTCAATTTTCTGTCAAACTGATTTTCAGAGCGGATTATCTCATAGTAGCTGGTCACCATCCAGTTTTATCAGCTGGCATCCATGGCAACACTAAGTATCTTGTATCTAAGCTCAAATCAATTCTGGAGGAGAATGACGTCACGGTTTATCTCAGCGGACACGATCACAATCTACAAGTGAGTAGGTGCATAACTGAACGTATTTACTTTTAAGAAACAGGCTAATTGCACAATGGATCGACCGTTATTAATCCCGAAATTGTTCCATTCACATGTGTTAACGGGAACGGATCCAGGATCTTTGTTTAGGAGGGGATGCACCACTAAAGAATGACCTAACTGAAGACAAATTTAAAAGCCAACAACGAAGAAGAAGGCTTATGACCTTGAATTAGAAAGCCGCTAGTCACCCTGGAAGAGGGGGAAGGAGTGTGCTCTCCATGCACCCCTCCCTTAGATCTGCTTCTGACAAAGTCTTCAGCTAAAATAAAGGATACTTTAAATGAGTCAGAGCTGGCCGGTGAGACTGGTCGAATTCATAAGAAAACAAATGGTTGTTCATCACAATTTTCTAGCCAGATCAATTGATGCCTGCATCATTTTGGTAGTGGTTTTATAATAATTTTAAAACTTTCAAGAAAAGAGTTCACAATTTTTTATTTCGGCTCTGAATGAAAAAATTGCTCTTTAATAAATAATGCTGAGCCTAAACTGAGTCCTCTTCATTTGCAGCACCTCAAAGAGCCAGACACGACGGTGCACTACTTCGTCTCAGGAAATGGTAATTTTTACAGTGGCAGGAAAGGATACGACAAAGCCGTGCAGAAATCACTCCTGTAAGTCAATGATGTTTCTTTGTTTCAAATCGCCACTGAATTATTTTTATTCTCGAAACGGCTTTTAAAGAAAACTATTAGCTGACTTTTTTATAGCAAGCTCTAAGATCATGTTGCAGACGCTGGCGGTTATCTTATCATTTATAAGCGTCAATTAACTTGTCTATACAATGGGCATAGGTCCATGGCCAGAGTTTTTGATAGATAATATGAATTAGCGGTTGGTTTGCGCCAGTTCAAGAACCGAAGAGTCAACTTACAGATCGACTAACTTTATTACATATACTGTGTCTTGAACTAGTAGAGGCGTGAAGATAGAATATAATTTTAAATCACGAACACTGTACATAGCCAACGATAAGTTTCTTTCACCAGTGAAAGTCTTAAGCCAACTCCAGCTAATGAACACCACTTTCCAATCCGCCTCACGGATAAATAAACCCTTCCAAAACCAAAAGTAACCCGGGATCGCTTTGTTTTTGCTTTACTTCGCTCTGTGATCCGTCCAGAAATTCGCGCCACTTTCTTAACCAATCAGATGCAATGCTGAAACCAATCACGACTTGGTTGCCCGCGTTTTCCCGCGCATTGGACAGTTTGGTTGGTTTTACCTTGAGTTCTCATTGGCTCTTCAGGGTATTTTCCTTTCTTCTGACTGGCCTTAAAAACAATCATTAATTCATTGCTTTTATATCTCTAGGTTTTTCAGTGGCGTTTCTGGAGGATTTACGTTGCTCCACGCCACTCCTGATTCACTTCAAATCTCACAAATTGACAGCAATGGGAAGAAACTGAACACCACGAAGTTAAAATCAAGGACCAAAACCGTGAAAGGGGTTAGAAATTTCGACTTCTATCCCAAATGTGCTCCGTATTTAGCCATTTTGCTGGTTGTTGTTGGTACTCTTGGAGCAAGAAGTCTTATACATGCAATTAGGCCGTTGAAAACTGGAAGCCGAAGGTGCTGGAACAGGACTGACAGCTTGAGAGGAAAATGTTTAAGGCTCTGCAATAATAAGAGACCATATTTGAAGGAAATAGTTATTTAGTTCTTTTTATTAGTATGCAAAAAAATTGATAAACTAAACTTGGAGAAATTATATTTAGGGAGATATGCTCTTACCTGATAATAGTAACAATAATAATAATAATAATAATAATAATATAATAATAATAACGATGATGATAATAATAATAATGATAATGCTAATAAAAATAATAATTTAAGAAGGAAGATATCAGTTGAACAGTATAGTTGGCTTCGAGCGTTGTCTTAATGCTTTGGCTATTTCGGCGGGATTGCGGATAGCCAGCCATTGCTTACGCTTTTATCCCATGAGCATGAGAGAACGATGAGCGTCTAATTTCACCTTACAGTATCGTTACTGAGTCGAAAATTAAGGGCATGAGAATAAAAGAAGCGATCGCTGCATAAAGAATCTCTTGGAAAATACCAGCTTGAAAAATTTAGGCTGAAATTTTTCAATCATCCACCCAAAATGACAGGACATCACTTCGAATTCACCGTTTTTCATACTCTTCCCTTTTCAGCTCCTTTGGTATTAGTGACAAGGGGAATCCGTTTAGCAATCAGAGCTTCTTAGGTTGATGATCATTTCCTTTTATTCTCAAGATCTTAATGAATGATTCAGCAGTATTACTGTAAGGTGAAACTGGAAGTTAGTCACTCTTAGCGTTTAAAGGGTTAAGCAAATGAACTGGCTTGTTTTAAAGTGACCATGCTTTGAGGAGCTGTGAATTCGAGAAGAATGGCGAGTTTCTTTAAGTTCCAGGAAAGCTAACTTTAACTTTCACGCTCAGCTATGTGCAGATAAGTGATATGTCTGCATTTTGTGCTCATATTGCTGGTGATTTAGCGCGCATAAGGAATGTTTTTACACACGAAAATGCAGGGAAGTGAAAGACCCGCGGCTTAGGTCCTTCAGCTCAAGAAAGAAGAATACATTCGGTATTGTTGTGATCATGTGAAATTTTCTTTTACGCGGACTATCTTTTAATTTTCGAAACAGCTGTGTAACGAAATAAAACTGGCAACCACAGCCTACGGATTCTAGTGGTGCTTACTTCACACTTAGACAATTTTGTGATTTGAGCGGGAGCAAGCTCGTCACAGCCCCAAATATCAATAACTAAGACATAGTACCTTTACCCTCAGTCACTTTTGCTGAGAAAACTTTAAACGTCAGAAATTTATTGTAAAAAGGTCTCTGTGTTAAAATGCTTGACCTTTCGACTCGTACGAGTGACTAGCCACTTATTTCTAGGAAATATCACCAACTAAAGAAGCTCTTGGTTGTTGAAGAAATTCTCCTCGTCGGTTCCTTAAGAAATGTATAGGGAACAGTATGGAGAATATGCATAATCATGTGAGGGAGTAAAGGGCTGAAATAAATAGCACGATAGGATACCTTGGGGAAAGAGTCGCTAGTCGTGTTTGTCACCATCAATCGAGAAGTCTGGAATCAGTCGAGTCTAAAGGAACGGGCGGCCAGCCGGAAGTAACAACGGAGAGCACACCATTTGTTCAAGGGAAAAGCTTTCACAGCACCGCGACAACGGATCACTTTTCATCCCTCTATAAATAAACTCATAACCTTTATTTCAAAATTCAAAAGGTTGGTGATTACAATTGTAAATTGTTCAAAGCGAGAATTTGTGGCTGGAGGTGTTCGTTCATTTCGCCGCGGCCTCTCCTAAACATCCTTTGGTTCGTTTTTGTCTGACAAGTGAAAAAAGATGCTTATTGTGTTTTTTGCCCTTTTTTAGTAAAAATAAATTGAAGAGTCCCTTTGTGAGCTAACGTGCTTTCCGGTTTGGTTGGAGATCGGTTCAGTTCGGTTCGAAAGTCAGTTTCCACCAATCTAGATATGCGGAAACTCTCTAAATAAATTATCACTTCGAAAAATAAGCCCTTTTTCTCTTGAAACCGCGGCTTTAGCGAGAACTAAATATGGAGATCATAAGAATTCAATTACGTTACACTAGCCGTCTTTTCGTTTTAAAATAACAATCTTTATACAATCAATATGAGAAAAGACTTCAGTTTTTAAGGATCAGTTCACGCTATTGGGCAAGATTTTACCTTTAAAAAGCAAAATTATAGTGTCAAGCGCATACATGCTTTAACTATTTCAATTACACCAAGGTGTTGACTTAAGCCACTTAAAACACAGGTGCCATTGCGCGTGCGTAGATCATGAGTTAAAATTTACGTCATGAAAGGTCTTATTATGACAGCTTAATGAGACAAGTAAGATTCGAGAGTTCAATTATAACATGAAAAGCCACAGAGGTGGAATGTAGAACGATCGAAAACGACTCATGGCAGGAGATGAATGGAGGAGGTTAGAATCTTGTTCCTGTTTCTGTTCTCACAGATATGTTTCCATGTCGGCGCTACAGAATATCCAAGACTCACGTTCGCGGCGATTGGAGATTTCGGTGGAATTCCTCTACCTCCATATACCACATACATGCAAAAGAAGATAGCCAAAGTAATGGGCAAGGTGAGTGTTGAAGAGTCGCTTACCGACTTTAAAACGATTTGCTTATCAGAGTTCTGATCCGTTTTATATTTTGTGACCGGTTGCTTGTACTTCTCTATTCAATTTAACTGGTGTTTTGTGTTTCAAGGAGCCTGAGAAACAAAACTATTAGCGTCTCTGCGAAAGCCTATGTAATTGTTCGCGAGGCGCGCCGAGATAATCTAGCCGAAGTGAAAATAACCCAAGTCGAAACTAAGGCGCCTAAAGTTAATTTTTATTAATCGGATGACTTAGTCGGCCAAATCCTCCGGAAACCTTGAAGTGGTCAAGTTCAGGAGGGTGATAAATTATTGACGGGAATACCAACTGATCCTCAGGCAACTGATCTTTCTAGCTGGTTCGTTAGCTGTCGATTTCAAACAACGCTTACATGGTAACCAATGTTTCATAAATTTATTTGGGTGAAACTGCTCCCATAGAGCTGAAACAAACAGCAGAACCATTTGAATAGAATTAAAATCTAGTAGTTATAATTTAAAAATGTAAATTTTTACTTTTAAATATGTTTGACACGGTATTTAAGGTTTTAAGAAATTTTTCATTGCAAATCTTTCTCATTTAGACGAAAAAGCGGAGTTGACGGTATCCTCTTTGAATTTAAATAAAATTTCAAGTAGGCAATTTTGTTTTATAGATCATGGAAACTATGCAAGCCATAGCACATAATCAGTACACGGCAACCAATGGTTCGGAATTTTTTAACAAGGAATACTTCTCGTAGAACCGAAACTAACAATTGTGATATCCGTCTCGAATTGAGTAAAAAATGTAACAAATTTGGCTCGTAAAACACTTGAAGATAATTTCTGCCAGTTCTTATCGCCACCGAGATTTTTTCAGTAATTTATGAATTGTATCATATTAGCAGCTTGAATATTTTCTTCATGAGCTCTTGCTAAGAGAAAGCTTATTTCCGCTTGAACGTAAGGTAATAAAATTCTCGTTTTCAATGAATGTTGATTACAATTCGTATGAAGATCCGTGGAGGATTGATTTTTTTCGGTAGATCAGTGAATATTTGGATAGATGTCCTCGGAATAAACTTGCTTTTATAGAAAACTCGCTCTCAGTTTTCCCAAACACTTAAGTGAGCTGTCACCTGAAAACAAGTGTCAAGTTATTATCTTTGTCTTAAACGTTTGCATCTGGAATATTCCTCTGTATCATCTGTCCTGGGCGCCTACTAAGTCTTAAGTTAATAGTACGTTATTTGACATGTAAGGACAGTTTAGCGAAGTAACTAGTTACTGAAATGCTCTATAAACGATTCAAAACGCTTTTGCTGAGAACAATGCATTTAATCTAAATCAGCTTTAATGAATTCCGCATTTACAAGTGCCTTGATTCAGCTGTTGTTTAGTTTGCAAAAAGTGCTTTTTCAGCTGTGCTGTTCGAATTCAAAACTTCATTTAGGACTTTCAGTGCTAAATCAGTGAGAATGAGACTTTTCTTTGACATGGGCGTCAGAGGATAATTTAATGACCATTTGGTCGCGAGATAAGACTCGCGCCAAACTGGAGCCGTTGCGATAAAGCACTCATTTTAAAGGACACGTGATTGAAACTCAACACCAAAGGAACTGATAATTTTCGGCAAGGTGAAACCTTAAATCCGTTTCTTCTTTTGAACACTGAAGTCTGTCATAGACTCAGCGTGTTTTTACCTTCGGTAACTTGAACGTTATTGAACTATAACCTAACGCAGACTCAAAATAATTTTTGTTTCTCCTGGGATCATTTTCTGTAAAATTTTACCCTCGATAACCCGAACTAGAGTTAGACAATTTGTAACAAGTTCTTACACGGAGCATCCAAGTCCAAAATCAAGAAAACTGAATTGATTTAGTAGCATTCGTAGATTCTTTTTTTTTTCTTATTATACATCACTCACAACGGCTATTTTTTACCGGGTTTTACCGATTTGAGACTATTTTTCAAACTAAGACCCTTAAGAACTAAATTTTGATTAAAAGTTCGCTGTAAAGATAAAGGAAAACATCATTTTTGCTAATTTCCTGTTATTTGTTCTCAACTCAAAATACTCGTATTCTGATTGATTCAAACCTTTTTTAGTTTCCTCTGAAGGTTCAAGTTATCGGCAGCCACTGAACAGTATTCAAGTGGGTGGCAAATTTATGCGACGCAAAGCTAAATAAAGTAACTTGTGTTAAAAAAACAATCTTTTTTGGTGGTTTCTGTTGAATGATAGGATTCATCTTCCGATATGATTACACCGGTTATCGGTTTATGTATGCCATTGTATCGTACTTAAGTAGTGAAAATCCTCAAAGATAATCAGCACACAATTAGAAGTAACACACCTTAGTCACTTATCGAGGGGATAGACTGAATAAATCGGAAAAGATGTTTTAACTCATGTTGAAGAATTCTCAAAATCCACGCTTAAACTAGAATCTAATCAGCTTCATATGGTGAGCACCCAATAATCCGATTTGCAAGAGAAAAAAAAAGGAAAAAAGGAAGGGAGATTCACGCATAGAGGGCAAAC